TGTTTATTAGCTAAACTATATAAAAAAAAAAAAACTGTTTGCTATTTCTTGATATAACAGAAACAATAATTAAAAACAGTGTAGGATCCAGTAGATTGGAATTAACATGATCTCAAGAGAGAAACAAGTGTCTAATTTTTGTGACAGAGCTGTACAGTTTAGCCTTAGAGTTTACATGTATTCATATATACAGACTTAAGAAATAAGATATATCAGTTTATTTGCAAAAAAAGGCCACAAGTTTTTTTTTATTATCTTTTTCTGATATATATAAAACCTATGGTATCTCTATGCAATCTATTTTATCTGATTTTTGTTGTTCTTTTATACATTTGTGCAGCAGTGATCCCGGTTAGATCACAGGAGGTGAGATTGCATTACACCAGTATGTAACTTAAGGTGACTGAAAAAGAGGCTTTAGATTGATTCCCCCTGTGTGTTCTCCAGGAAGAGGAGACCATCCAGCAGGTGGAAGAGCTGCAAGAGGAAGAGCTACAGGAGGAGGAGCAGCAGGTGATTGAGACGTGGACGCGAAATGTCAAGGCCTGCACCTGTGACTGCGAGTCCGTGGATTCGCCAACACGCAACCCTGCTGCTATCTCACCTGTGCCGCCGACCTCATTGCCACCACCTCAGGGTCACCTGCTGAACTGCATGCCAGGTAAGGACTCAGAAAGGCTCTCACCTCTGCTGACTTTCTGTCTCAGTTAAGAGGATATTTAAGGTGTTTCTTTTACCAGGTGGGTTTTACAGACAAATTCATGTTGACGAATGCCTCATTTAGGTCATTGGCTGAGTTTTGTTTTTCCTGAGTATTTTATTTCAGATATCTGAAACACAGAACTTGCAGGTGGTTTAAATCTCATGATCCCTAAATGCAATTATAATGCAAGTCTCATGGGTCTGAAGTGAGAGGAATCACTATCATTCACATCAATAAGATTTTCCCAGCCCTTTCTGTGCAGAATAACAGATAAAAGGGGATCAAAAGTGACAGCTTGAGACTCGGATATGAAGAGCTGCTCTGAACAAACCCGGAATGACAAACAGTGCTGGCTAATCCCATTACCTGTGCAGGAATGTGATGAGCAGATTAGCATGCTCAAAATAAGGGCTGTCCTGTCATTATGGTGTGGAGAGAAGCTTGCATCAGATAATGCTTCAATCATCATCTCCTGTCTGATCATGCTGTTCCTCCGTGGATCAAAGCTCACCGTAAGCTGGATCACCTCAAGCTATAATCTGGATTCAGTAAATCTGACCTGTCTGCTGTGTTCCTTTTGTTTGCTAATCATTTATAAGAAACGTCTAAGTTGTTCATAGACTGATTTATCCTGTGATTAAATTACACTGTTTAATAATCTCTCTTTATAAGAATACCAGTAATTTGAGGATCAGTGTAAGAGTGGCTGAATGCATCTTCTTTAAATCCTACACTGCAAAAATAATGCACGCAACCCTGCATCATTTTTAGTCTCTAATTATGCCAGGTTTGTCCGTGAGGCAGAAACACTCTCTGCTTTAAGACTAGTCTTAAAACTTTTCCTTTATAAAATAACTAAATGGAATTAACAAGAATATGTCCTCCACAGAATGCCCATACCATAGAGCCCTGGGCTTCGAATCAGGATCTGTGGCCTCGGACCAGATCAGCTGCTCCAACCAGGACCAGTACAGCGGCTGGTACTCCTCCTGGACCCCAAACAAGGCTCGCCTTAACAACCAAGGATTTGGGTGATTACAAACTGCTCTTGTTTCCAGTTAACGTCCGCTTATCCTGTCATGAAAACAAGTTTTCTTCTTTCTGTTTTTTGCTAGGTGTGCCTGGCTGTCCAAGTTTAACGACCAGCAACAGTGGATCCAGATCGACCTGAAGGAGGTGGGAGTGGTGTCTGGAATCTTGATCCAGGGCCGCTGTGACGCTGATGAGTGGATCACTAAATACAGCATCCAGTATCGCACTGTGGAAACCCTCAACTGGATCTATTACAAAGACCAAACAGGAAATAACAGGGTGGGTTCACTAAACAGTTAAGTCATGTGAAGAGAGTTACCTTGTTTATGGTGCTGTAACTATAGTGCATAGCAAAGGCGTTTCTCAAAAACTATTTCTATACAGATTTATTAATGTTTAACACAAGGGTTTTCAAGGTTTTCCAGGCCAAGGACCCCCAAACTGATGGTGATATGGAGCGGGGACCCCCTAATTATATATATTGTATGAAATTGTGTTATATCAAACTGGTCCTATAGTCACTCTATTACAGATGGAGTCATGTAACGAAAGTAATTAGCATTGATGACTGAAAGACATCTTCTGCCTCCATTTATCTGTTTACTACAGTCTGTTGAATTTATGTTAATGTGGATTTAAAGACATTTCAATTAGTGGAAAAAACTGCAGGGATGAATATAAAAAAAGTCTAATCAACCATAATTTTTGCGACCTCCACGCAGTACCTCTGTGGAGTTGAAGACCTCCAGTTTAACAAATAAAATGGAGATGGAAATTTGCTCAGTTTTACAATAAAATGACATAATACAAACTAATACCAATCCCGTCAAACATGTTTTCCCTCCTGAAATGAGGATCTCTGCAGCTCCTCCAGACCCATCACAGCCCTCTTTTTTTTCTCCCTTCCAAGCCTTTTAACTATCCCTTTGCAGATGATGGATCCAACAGAGTTCTGTGTGATGTTTAAAGCTTTAAATGTTGATTTATAATCTAACTCTGTTTAAAACTTCTTCACTGACCTCTGAGCTCTTTTTCTTGGTCCTCATGATGTTACTGATTAACTAACGTTCTCTAACAAACCTGAGGCCTTAACAAAGCAGCTGCATCTCTGCTCACATTAAAACAAGTGAGCTCTATTTACAATTAAATGACATTTGAAAGCAGGGGGGGCCACAATCATGCTTTCAATTAACATCTTCTATGTAAGTGAAACCACTCTTGGGTTTAAAGGTTTTAATGTAACAAAATGTTCATGAATATGCTTGTAAGGCATTATTATTGTGCAGCCAAGAAATGAGAATTTTGCAAGTTTTTGCAGCACTAGTGGCTCCTTTTTCTGACAGTATGCTGACAGGAAAGGGGGTAAGAGAGAGGGTAAGAGACATGCGGCAAAGGACCACAGGTTGGCTTCGAACCCGGGTCAGCCGCGTTGAGGACTAAGGCCTCAGTACATGGGTTTTGAGCACTAACCACTGCACCACCTGAACGCCCCCCCAAAAAAGGCAATATAAGATGAATCATGTTGCTGTATTTCTCCTCAGGTCTTCTATGGGAACTCTGATCGCTCCTCCACCGTGCAGAACCTGCTGCGCCCCCCCATCGTAGCTCGCTACATCCGCCTCCTCCCTCTGGGCTGGCACACCCGCATCGCCATCAGGATGGAGCTGTTAATGTGCATGAGCAAGTGCACCTGAAGGCATACAGGACTGCTCCCACCCCCATCCACCATCTCCCTGCCAGCAGGCACTTTATTTAAGGTTAAAGACAAATATTATTGGAACAACTGCTGGGAAAAAAAATGATACATGTTCAAACTTTGCTTTGGAAGATTAAACACTTTAAAAAACTTTGTACTATTTGAATCAAATAAGCTTATTTTATTGGAGATTTACTGTCACAAATGTAAACATGAATATTCTAAAGAAGTTACGCATTCGTTGAATTAAGGATTTCATATTTCATGAAAATTCCATGTTGGAAAAAAAGAAAAGTAAGCAGGTTTAACACAGACTATGCTACTAAATCGTGTCTGTAACCAAAGAAAAAGCACAAACTTTATACTCGATCTCATTTAAACAGCTGATAAACATTGCTCTGTTATAAATATTACCAAACAAGTAAGTCACACGTCAGTATTAATATAATACACGGTGCTCCTTCAGCGAAAAATGGTAAATTTGAAAGAGAGGAACGTCTCTTTGACTCGGTGTGTCGCTGGTCTCAGTCCTCACACTCACACAGGCGTCACGCTTAAGGGGACTTTATATAAACTTCCATTCATTTCTATGGCCTAACGCCCATTCTTACCTTTACTCTTTATATTACCAACACATACCTCACCGAAAACCCAAACTAAACCCAGATCAAACCTAACCCCCAACCCAAGAAGATAACTTTTCCTCATTTGACTGATTTCCACAAAGACCTGTTAATCCCCTTAATGTAGGATATTATACTAGTAAAATGTCCCCATAAGGTAACAAAACCAGCCGACACACTCGCTTTACACATGATAAACAGGAAGTGAGAAGTCATTTTACAGAGTCAGGACAATATTGCTAAGCCACAAAGGCTCTTCAGAGTGAAATATTAAAAAAATAAAACTAAAAACAAAGGTTAAGACTTGTTTCTGCAGAGCTGCTGTCATGGCACTTCATTTCCAACAAAATAACAACATTACAGGTCCACATTATCCCAACAAAGGGTTTCACATTTTCAAAAGTTCGTCCTATGTTGTTCAAATGTGTGTTATCAGTGAGAAACGCAGTGGTGCAGTAACTCCCAATCAGATCAGAGGATACCTGGAAACACTGCATGGAAGCTGAGAGGAGAGAAATACAATTTAGTTCAAGAAAGTTGGTGAAAAAAGTAACTAGAATTAAAAAGAAATAAAGCGTACTTAGCAACTTAAATTTAAGAGTATGGCAAACAAAAAGGGAAAGTTAGATAGCAAACTGTTAGCATGCCAGGTAAAGATGTTAAAATGTCTCTATTTGTACCATCCTGCTGTCTGTGCATGTTGGTAGCCCTACTTTTACAATTATTGCTTTGGCTGTAAATAAGTTTGGGTATAATGAGCTATTGCTTTTCCTCTGGTTCTTAGTTTAAAAGGTCAACTAAAATACTAAAAGGATAAGAAGGACCCACAGCACACCATGCGGTGGGGGTATAAGGTGCTTAATCTGTACTAATCTTTTGTTTTATGCAACCCTCCCCTCTGAAAAGTGTTTATTTAAAGTTTCAGTCTCAGACCGCTCAGACACCTAAAGTCCCAGGACGGCTTGGCAAACTTTACCAGTTTACTTTTTTTTAACAAAGAAATAAAAAATGAAAAATTTCTGGTCTTAAACAGCGTGTTGATAGCATCTAATGGTTGTCATAGTAACTTGCTGACCAACAATATGAAGCATCCCTTTGCTGTTTTCTAACATTGAACTTTGGAGATTATTATTACTGCACTGTAACAGACTCTGTGTCACCTCAAGGAAAGAGAAAAAAATTGCTATTAGGTTTTAAAAACATATTAAAACAACAACAACAAAAAATTATAGTAAAAAATAAAACGGTCCTAATGTGAAAATAATGTAAAATTTGAAATATTTAATATATTTCCTGTAAGATTATGCTACTGTAAAAAAGGTGGATCACCTCGGAGGCATTTTTTACACCTTTACCTGGATTTGCCATAAAATATAAGGGGGCTACAGCTTTATAATTAATTAGATGAAGCAATTGCTTTTATAATATAGAGATGATACGATTTTGAAGTAAAAAAAAAAAAAGAGAGCCAAGTAAACAAATCCAGGTGCAATGGTTGAAAGATATTTGAAGTTAACACGCACTGATTGCTTTTCAGAGCAGGATTTACAGGAAAGCGAGAAAACATATGCAAATTAGATTAAATGTTGATTAAAGCAAACAGCTTTGAAAATTAAAGGTCGACTTTGTTCATTTGAGAGCCACTGCATCACTATAAATGGCTTTTATGATCCTGTAGCTGCTGTAAAAATACTTTTCTTACAATCAGTTAAAAATGTCGCTGTTTTTATAGCAGCCAAGGGTTGTAGAGTTTTGAGTGAGTTTGTGCGTTTCTATGATAGAGTCGAACCACTTAGAGGGTCTTTTGCTTTCCAAAAACCAGGAAGGGAGCGAAGAGCCACGCCCTTTAAATGTCCTCTATCATTAACTCCTAAAAACATACACAAAGCCCTGAAATTTAACTAATTTGAATTAAAACTCTTCAACCTTTTATGATTTTTCTTCAATCATGTGATTTGTGTAATTAAATTAGATAATTAATCAGTGCATACGACTGATTCATGATTTGAAATGTGTTAGAAAATACTTAGAGCAGTGCTTCGTTATGACCCGCAGAGGGCAGTGTAGATTAAAGCATAGAGTTTAGTTTATAGTTATCTTAATTTCAAAATGGCCGCAGTTCATAAAGAGACAATCAATTTAATATCCAACAAACGAGTAGTAAGATGTAAGCTCTCGGACCGTGTGAGTATCCTACAGCCCAGAGAGATGCTGCTGCGGGTTTTCAGAAGCACATTTGTTCATCAGCAACAAGAATGACAGAGCACATCCAAAAGGTGACGCACCTGAAAAGAATTACGACCCTGGCAGAGATGGACATCATCCGTACTGACATTACCAGCCTCTGCTGTGATGACTGGCTCATCTCCATTTGCTTAGAATGCCTTAGATTTATCTTAAACTGATACTACACAGTAAAATGTACCATATTTATATATTTAATAAAATCAAAAATACTTACACTTAAAATCTACACTTTACCTATCCATATATATATATACAGATATATGTATATACTGAATCTGTAACATATTTACTTTATAATACAAATTAGATTTAGAATTACATAAGTAATAATATAAAGTCTATCAAACATGGAAGCTTTAAAAAAATTACGACATGAAAAGGCTTTTGGCCTGATTGCAAGCAGTGTTTACAACAGGAGGGTTGGTGTTTCTGTGTGTTCAGCATGTTTACAGGGGAGGTGTCGGAGCAACAGAAGGGAAGCGGGATGCTGAGGTGAGGGCGGCGAGGACTACAGAGCTGTCTCTTTCAGGTCGTTGAGGTTTGGTATGCGGGACCTGGGCTGGCGTCCGAAGCCATGCCCGTTCTGGCCCCCCTTGATGCTCATTTGCTCCGGGTAAGGGTTGCCCTCGGGGCGGCCCAGGGCAGAAGAGTGCCAAGCAGAGTCCAGCTGGCCCGGCAGCGGGTAGGCTCCCTGTCGGCTCTTAAGCTGGGGCGTGCCGACCCCTGAGTGACCCCGGGTTTCGGAGAACCCGCCCTGAGCGGAGGCTGAGTTAGGCAGCGGCTGGTAGCGCATATCGGAGGAGCCCGTCTGGTTGGAGGATGAGGAGGAGAGGTGCAGGAGCTTCCGCAGAGACTTCAGTGGCTGACTCTGAAAGACACACCATAGAATACATGAACCGTCCGAGGATTGGCTTTGTTAGACACACAGACAGTGAAAACACAGCTGGCTAATGAAGTTTAGATGTATAGTGGTTTTCTAAGTTTATAAAGGTCTTTGAAAAGGACTCCTAACAAAAACAACTGTTGTGTGTATTTGAGCTGGCAGAAGAAACACATTAAAATTAGCTGGTGGCAGAAAAAATTATATTGGAAAACCAACTTTTCCCAGACTTTCAGAGAGCTCCTCATGGGTACCAAGCCACAAGGGATGTGAGAGCAAATGTGACCCATCTAAGTTGTTATCCTCAGCATTTTTCCCATTTGTATCACCTTAAAGGTACATAGTCATGTTATGCCTAAACAAAAAAGACCACAAACCACTTGATAGTAAAATAAGGCTTTTTACTGTCACTCTACTATACTCTTTCCTGAGAGTGTTTTGAATGTCTTTTTTGAGCCTAAATGGAATTCCAGCACCGGCCGCAATGAGCTGACATAAACAGTCATGGCGCCATCTGCTGGCAATACTGTGGAACTAGCAGCCTTTGACACAGCTACCGCCTTACAGAGCCTCACCAACTAATATTAATTAAATAAACTGGTTTACATCAACTCTGGGCTCTAGGGAATCCTCCCCTTTTAGAATAACAAGGAAAAGGAAAAATTCTACCAAACCCTAGCAGAACCAATTAGTCAATATTTATATTTATAACGTTGTTTGTGTTTATACTGAGACTAAAAGGGCTGGTTATTCTCCCGCAGCAGTGTGTTGCAGTGAGCTTGTCAAAGATATTTTTGACTTATGCCCAAAATGAAAGCGTGGTCTGTGCTATGTTATTCCACAACACAAGAGGGACAATCACCAACTGGCGGTGGGTCTAGATACAGTACAGCCGAAGCAGTGAAGAAGTGGAAAAAAGCAAGGGCCAAATTTGTGCGACAACGGAGGGACATGAGGGGGAAAAAGATCCAGGATCCAGGTGGAGAAAGGGTCCCAGTGTTCTCGCGCACCTCGCTCTTCTAGCTGATCCTTCTTAACGAGTCGTTTCCCACAATGGTGATCATACAAACAAAACAAGCCGGCAAGGTACTAAACAGGAAATATACATAGAAAGAGCGGATGTAGATTTGACCAATCAGAGGCCTCCTGTCTGCAGTCACCTACAATTTTGGAGAGGTGCACCAGAGTGTCTGCGCCAGGGGCGGGGGCATATCTGCGTTAATTGCTACACACATGCAGACGACCTGGTTTCTGAGTATAAATCAGCCCTAAGAGTGGCATTAAGGGTGTTAAGTCAAACATCCATCAACTAAGTGCAACATCTAGATACCAGCTTTTCTCCTGCTTCAGTTAACCAACGTTGAAATAGTATGCCATGCGCTATTTTGTATTAGAATCCAAAACTTCACATGATTTTGAAGCCCTTTTCTTCATTACCGTCTGAACTTTCTCATTGAATTTCCTTGCACACATGGCTAGTATCTTACCTCTTTTGATAAATAAATATGAAGGGCTTTATTTACTAAGAAAATTGAGCAGAAACAAAGAATAAACACAAAAATAACAAATAATAAGCAAGCAGGATGCAGAGTTCTCATAAATGTATGCAACCAGTATTAGCTGCTGCAGTCCCATATACTTTAAATATGTCCCTTTAAATTAATACATAATTATTTCAGCACTTTGGTAGGATAGGGGTAAAGCAATGAGCAGGTGTGGCTGCAATGCCTGAGGAAATATCTCTGCTGTCTTTTATTCTAAAATCTTGGCTGGTGAAGACTCTCACTGAATAATAATGTTGAGCCAAAGCTCCATGGTTTGACTGAACAACATATGGAAAACAATTGCGTATAAAACATGATCTAGCCACTTTAATTTGATAAAGAAATGCAATTGCTTTTGCTAAAATAATACATTTATCATTAAAGTCGTTATGATGTCAACAATACTTTATCATTTGAACAAGAAGCAGATATCCTGGTAATGAGGAGACACAGATAAACTCTAGTGGTAGCAATGTTTAAAACCCATCATGATTCATGTATTCATCATAATGATTCAGAAACAAAAAACTAATATTTACGGGTAAAGGATAAGAGAAATTAAGGATGACTCACCACCTCAGTCATAACAATACAGATGAATATAAAGGCAGTGCTCGAATAAGACTATGGATCCTAAATCAAGGCTTAGATGGAGCAGATGTATTATTTGTCTCTCCACTGGTTAATCATTTTATCTCAGGATTATATTGGAATCGAATAAACATGAAAATCTCTGAGCATCCTCTTCAAAGGACTGTTAAACAGCAACAGACTGTCAGAGGCTTCATCATTATGCTGGAAATCAGACTGCTACAGGAGATCTTTCCTCCTTACAGCTGTTAACATCTGTTATAACTCCAAAAAAAACTATAAGAGTTACAACAATTTATTATCCTTTGGAATCAATAAAGTATTTCTAAATTAAACGGATTTAAATAAAACAACTAATCAATCAATCTATTAGTAACTTTTTGGAAGTTTTTCTTTTATAATTTTTTTATGCAAGTATTTTTCCGCCCAGTTTGGGTATACTAAGGTAAAATATTAAAAATAATATTTAAACTCTAAAACAAAATAAGATTTTAAATAAATATGTTTTTATTGCCTTTCTGCCTCCATAGAGAAACATTAAGAAACTGCACTCTACTGCTTAACATATCTGTCTGAAATTTTAGCATTTCCGGGATCATACTGGTAACTGGTAAAACTGGGTGCTTCTTAAGATTTCATGCTGTGTTTTCTTGTCTAAAGGAAAAAACAGTTCTTCTCATTCTGCAAAGTGTTTTGGTATTTTATTTAAAGGGTTTTAAACCATAGGCACTTTTGTTAAGACATGACCTAAAATTCACACATTATCCTAAACAAAATGTCAAATTAAACACATCTAGAAAAGAAGAACTGGATATAACAAAAAGCAAATAAACAGATGCTTTGTAGCCTACATTATTGTTTTTCAGAAGATTTTTTTTTAATGGTGATTACAAAGCAGTTTTCCCTAAAATAGTAAAACAAAAAGAAAAAAACTGGCCATAAATATTGATCTATAGTTGCTACATTTAAAATTAAATGTCTATTTAGCAGTTTTAGAAAAATCTAAATAATTTATTTGAAAGCAGTGCATGAAATATTTGACTCACTGGAGAGTGTGAATCGGCGAGTTTCTCTCTTGGCCAGTCCTTGTCCCGGTCTCGTTCTTGGTTCCTGTCTCTGCTCTTGTCGCGGCTCCTGTGGCGACTGCTCTGATGGCCAGAGGACCTTGAGCTCTTCTGAATGACCGTGTCCATCCCTTCACTGGGAGCCTGTCATAAAGGCAGATGTGGAAAAAGTACTAAAATATCATACTCAAGTAAAAGTACCAATACTTGGATGAAATATTACTCAAGTACAAGCAAAATTACCCATCAGAAAAATTACTCAAGTAAAAGTAATACATAGCTAATTTTAAATGCATTTTAAGTAATAGTTACATTACAAACAACAGTTGAACGGGGCAGGAGATCTCTCCCATGTAGTGAAAATAGGACAAGGAGTCATAAATCCAAAACTATTTAGTTTTTAATTAAAGAAAAATCTATACAAATGTATACACATGTAATGACAAGATAACACATGTCACACATGACATTTAAAACCCTTAGATAGGTATAATGTGCAATTTTAGCTCAGACCAAATTGAAGGTAAAAGTGCCATAAATTGTTGGTTCTGAGGGCCGTCCTTCTTTTCTTCAAACATTAACAACAGTTATTAATAAGCTCTAAACAAATGCAATAACAACATAAAACACGCCACACATGACATTTAAGACCCTTATAAATGTATATTGTGTCATTTTAGTGCAGAACATCCCATAAAATGTTTTCAATGTTTCAACATCAATTGAAAGTGGAATTGCCATGAATTGTTCATTCTGAGTGCCATCCTTCTTTTAACATAAACAGAGCGCCTGGTAGCCTAGATCTACATGCTGATCACGTCACTCACTGTAGTGCTTCCGGGCCCGATTTTTTTGTCTTCCTTTCGGTTTTCCAACGTTTTTTTTTACTCAGTAACAGATGGGATTTGTAATGTAACGAAATACAAAACTTCACTCAAAAAACGTAATCAAGTAAAATTTAAATTACCGATTTTAAAAACTACTTGAAAAATACAAAATACACAAAAAAACCTACTCAATACAGTAACTTGAGTAAATGTATTTCGTTACTTTCCACCTCTGCATAAAGGGGGCAACATTCACAGCGGTAAAATTAATTAAACTACTTTATGTATTTTTGACCTTCTTTTGATGTATTAATGTAATAAGAATCTTAAGTGAAAATATTCTTAAAACACAACCAAGCATTTTTTCTGAATTAAGCACTGGCTTAACTAAAAAAAACAAAATTTCTTTCTTCTCCTACCACATAAATCATTTTGTTCCGGAGCAGATGTAGCTTAGTTTAGTATTTCCAAACTATACATCCTTATCCTCCAGCTCTAAACTGCCTGATTCCCTGAGGCCAGATTGCGTGTATTTGTGCTCCGTCATCAGCAATATCTCCCCCCCTCACACCCACCCACTGTCAGCATCTGAACAAACTGCCGATTAAAAATAGAAATGTGAATGGAGTCTCAAACACTGCTTCCATGCTGCACCATTAGTGCCGCAGAGGTGGTAGACAGTTTAATATGTCGAAATATGGCGGATAAGGAACTATTCCTCCCCCACCTTCACTCCCCTTTTCATCTATACTGTTATCAAGTCAGTGGTTTGCGGAGCTTGATCCTATGCTTTAGTGTTGTTATGTTGATAATTACATACACTAAGCCAAAACCTATGCAATTCTGCATCTCTTTAGGATGAGCCAAAAATCAAAGTTTATCTTGCACATTAACTTGTACAACAATGCTTTTTCTTAAGCTAGAAACCTCTAGATTGAGAATTAAATCAGTTTAAAAGGGCAGCCTTTGAATTAAGAGTGTTTAGTCAGAGGTGGGACATAAAGAATTTGTTGGATTAAAGGGCTTTCTAAAGCTAAAACCTTAAAGTCATTAAACTATCTACACAAAAAAGTGTAAAGATGAAACTGCCTGAAGCCATCAAAGCTTTACTAGGTGATGTAATACTGATGCATTGTCAGTGGGTGGCGCGCTACACAGGTAAAGAGGGTAGGAGAAAGAAGGGTGAAGTAGGTTGTAAATAATGAACACAGGGAAAGAGATTAAAAGGTGTTTGTGTGGACTCAGAATGGAGGAGCAACACCTAGCGGGTGTAAAATCCACAATAAATTCAGTCAGAAAATAGAATTGCAACACAAAGGCCTGCCAATGTTGTTCTTTGTTTGGCGCCTGCATGTTAAGGGTGATGGAAGCAGCCTCTCATGCGCACACACACTGCCGGTGTTGCAACTGAATTTGTGACCCATCATATAATGTGACTGAAGCATCTGATGTCTCCCTTTTTTTTACTTGATCTCATCTGTTGTTTTCTTTATCTGCTGTGTGTCTGGTGCCACCCTCAGACTATTTAGCCAAAGCGAACCTGCGTCAGCGACCACCATGATAAGTGCTGTCCCAGTAGTTCTGGGAGTAATGATGTGTTCACACTAAATGGGATCTGGGCGTCAAAGCATCTGATTTAGCGTGAGGGATTGCATTTGAGTCAATGAGTCGATACAATCAACTGGTTTTCCTTAGATAGAAAACTTTGATTTTGCATCCAGTTTCAGCATTTAAGTGTTTTTTACGGCCAGAAAAAGGAAGCAGGACGTTCATATAGCGAAAGCAAGCGCCCAGAACTCCTGTCTGACACTAAGGAGTCATGAGGAGTCCCATAAATCTTTGCGGTCTATAACATATAGACACAGACTACGCCTCAAAACTTAACACAATCATTATTTTGTGACATGTTCCCTGTGACACAAACAGTTCTTTTCCAGAAGGCTGTGGTCCCAATTTGACTGATAATCTATGTCTGTTTCAATCATGCAGTGATTTCCGAAAGGTTTAGGTTTATTTCTCTCACAACAGATGACCCCAGGGCCCCCTAGTGGACTCTAATGGGTGGGTGAAAATTTCACAGTCAACAGTGAAATAGACTGAGTAGAAACTGTCCCACAGCATCATTGAACCTCCACCATGCCTAATAGGGGGAGTAAGTTGCTGTTCCACATGTTGCTTCCTTCCAAACCTTACAGTGATTCTAACTTTAAAACTTCAAGGCTAATTTTATTTGCCAAAAGTTATTAGCCATCTGCCATCAACACCCTTGTTTATAGATGTTGGAGATCGGCCTGTTTTCCAGTGCAGTCCTGTTTCTCTGA